ACCACCTGCAAGCATAAATGTCCTCAGAACTCCAAACCCATATATGCAGCTGACTTTTTGACCTGCCCCACTTTGGATGTCTCAAAAGCATCTCAATCCTAACATGCTCAAAATGAAATGCAAGATCTCCTCTCTTGAACCTAGTTCTCATCATCTTCATGGCACCTCCTCCTCCCACTGCCATCAAGTCAGTGGTTCAGATGCCCAGGCATTATCCTCACCCCCATTTCCCTTCCTTCACCAAGTCTTGTTGATTTTAACTCTTCAATATTTTGTGTTCATGCATGGTTCTTCATCTTTTTTTTTTTTTAAGATATACTTATTTATTTGAAGGGGGCAGAGGGAGAGGGAGAGAGAATCTCAAGCAGACTGCCTGCTGAGCACAAAGCCCGATGTGGGGCTTGATCCCACAACCCCAAGATCATGACCTGAGCTGAAATCAAGAGTCAGACACTCAACACAGTGAGTCACCCAGGTGCCCCAGTTCTCCATCTTTATCACCACTCAGTAGTCCAGTAAGTCCAAATGGTCTACTCTCACAATTCAGAAAGTCTACCTGGTCTACCTTGATCGACCTTTTCTCTTGCCAGTCCACTCTACACATGAGAACCTCAGGGCACTTTCACAATGCACATCTGATCATAACATCCTCCCAACTGAAACCTCATTGGTAGATTCCCTTTATTCTTAGGATACAGACAAAACTCCTTAACACAACCATAAAGCCCTGCAGGTCTACCCTTTACTTACCTCTGCTTTCATCCCACACAGTCTCTCCCCTGCAAGGTCTTCTTTAATCTATCATACTGTCCACACTTTCTCTCACCCCAGGGCCTTTGCCTAAGAAGTTCCCTCTGCCCAGAGCACCCTTTACTCTTAGCTTTGGACCCCAGCTCTTGCTTCCTCCAAATTAGATCAAATCCCCTTATTAAACTCGGATAACACCAAGGATCTTTTCCTGAAAGCTGTTAGCAGAGCCGCCATTTATATTTATTTGTGAATATTTTTTAAAGATTTTATTTATTTATTTGACAGAAAGTACAAGCAGGGGGAGTGGCAGGCAGAGGGAGAAGCAGGCTCCCTGCTGAGCAGGGAGCCCGATGCGGGGCTCGATCCCAGGACCCTGGGATCATGACCTAAGCCGAAGGCAGCCACTTAACCGATTGAGCCACCCAGACACACATATTTGTGAATATTTGATCATTACCTGTCTCCCCATTTTGAAGGATGCCCCGTGCACTCTGCCTGGCTCACCATCTTCTCTCCTGTGATGTACCTAGTAGGTCCTCAGAAGTACTTGTTGAATAACTACATGGATGGAAAAATGGCCCCACTGGTTTCAGGATGAAGTTTGAGTGTCTTGCCCTGGCACTCGAGGCTCTCCATCTCCTCGAGGACTGAGCTCTCAGTCTATGTAAAAGGTCAGGGCAGACACCAAAGGGCACAAGATGGCCAAATGGAGAATAATAATTCAGCAGAAGCAGGAAGTTGAAGACAAGGATGACCAAGAGAATATAGGTCCCCCTGGGAGGGGGAAATCTTGGGGAGACACTGGCTTTTGATAGAGCACAGAACAGGGTGCAGACCATTATCTCTTCCTGGCTATTAAGAGGCAGGATGACCCAGCTGTCATCTGGTCTGCTCTGGTCCCCACTTCTTTTAGAAATTCTCCTTAGGGGGTGCCTGGGTGGCTCAGTCGGTTAAGTGTCTGCCTTCAGCTCAGGTCATGATCCCAGGATCCCGGAATCAAGTCCCATGTCGGGAATCCCTCTCAGCAGGGAATCTGCTTCTCCCTCTGCCTCTGCCTGTCCCCCTGCTCGTGCTTGCTCTCTTTCTCTCAAATAAATAAAATATTTTAAAAAGAAAGAAAAGAAAGTCTCCTTGGGCCTCATGTTTCTCTCCAGCTACCATCCCATTCCTATTTTCCTTTTTCTCACCCCTCACATATGATCCATCAGTAAGTCCTGGTGGCTCTACTTAAAACATGCGCCAAATATGCCCACTGCTCATCATTCTGGAAGCTTCTATCCTGGCTCAGCCACCGCTGGCTTTTGCTTGGACTATTGCAGTTACCTCCTCCCTCAGCTCCCTGCTTCCACCCTCACTCCCTGAAACCCATTGCCTAACAAGGAAATTAGAGGGATCTTTAAACAACGTGAGTCAGATCATGGCACTCTTCCCCACTGCAACTGGTCCAGCAACTTCTCGTTGCACTTAGAATAAAAACCAACAACTCGGATGCCTGGGTGGCTCAGTCGGTTGGGCGTCTTCCTTCGGTTCAGGTCATGATCCCAAGACCGGATCCAGCCCCGCGTCGGACTCCCTGCTCAGCAGGGAGTCTGTTTCTCCCTCTCCCTCTGCCCCTCCCCTCTGCTTGTGCACACACACTCTCTCTCTCTCAAATAAATAAATAAAATCTTAAAAAAAAAAAGTTGCTAAGAGAATAGATCTTCAGTTGTCACCACACATACATATGCACACAGGTAATTATGTGATGGAGGTGTTAACTAACCCTATTGTGGTAATCACTTCACAATATATATGTGTATCAAATCATGCCGTTGTATACCTTAAACGTACACAATGTTATATGCCAATTACATCTCAATTAAGATGGAAAAAAATGTCACCTCCCCAGAGAGGCTACCCAGATGTCCTGACAAAATAAGGCTCCTGGTTACTTCCTTTCCCACCTCCTCGTTGTCTTTACAGTGCTTATCTATCTAAAATGAACTTGTTTATTTATTTGCTTACATGTTTACTGTGTGTCCAGTATAAAATACACATTGCAAGACTGAAACAGATCCATCGTATTCACACTGTCTCAGCACCTACAACAGCACCTGGGACTCTAGACACTCAGTTTGTCCAGTGAATGAATGAATGCATGAGTAAATGATGGGTGTCTATTATTGCCTCCCCTCCCAGGCCCCCTTCTAAGAGAAAGCTCCTATCTGTAAGTCCCTGCTGAGAAAGAGACTTCCATAACAACGTGTTCCCAGGTACCCAAGGTGTCCAGTCTCAGCAAACTGGACAAGTTGATTCCTGATACACATTGAAAGAGGCAAATTCTCCTCTTTCAATCTTCCAGGGAGATGGAATTGGAACATGAAGGTCAAGGCAATTAAAAGGCATGGGGCCATGGAGCTGAAGGTGCCCAGGGGATCAGGGGCTGCTGGACTGAGGGGCACCCGGTGTGGAGGAGGACAGGAGAGTGGGGATTTGCTCCTGAATCCAAAGTAGCCCCGTCTCTGCCACCATCCCTTGCCCTGGTTTAACTCTCAGCACAGTGCTATTACAGGATTATAATTTCTCCCCGTTACCGCTAAAATGCCAGCTCCATGAGAGCAAGCCGCTCATCTGTCTTGTCTACCTGGTGCATAGTAGGTGCGCAGTAAGTATTTGCTACTGAATTGAAGTGAGTGTGTAAGTGATGGCTTTCCAAAGTCCTGGAGCCCCAGGTACTGGGTTTTGTGAGATTCTCTGCACTCCTTATCTATAGCTCCTCTTGAACTAGGCCATTTTAGGGGGCTTTCTATTCCAAACACATTCTCTGACACCCACCCATCCCCAGGCAGACAGACCAGACTCTGATGCTTAGAGGCAGATGAGAACAAAAAAGAGATGTCAGGGAAAAGCCAACCAATGAGAAAGGAAACCATGGCTTTCAAGGACTGAAATCTCTCAAGCGAGAGCAGGAGAGAAACAGACGAAGCTGGAAGGCTGGAGGGATGCTACGGTGGGTGCCAGGACAGGACAGTCGGGAGGGGGATGAGAGAAAAGTCTGGAAAACTAGACACAAAGGACAAGGATCTCTTTGCATTCCAAGGAGACTATTCATAATGGTAATAACGATTCTACTCAATGATAATTATGGTCCCTAATATTCACTGGGCTCTTCCTTGTGCCAGGCACTCCAAGCCATTTGCCAGCACTGGCCACCATAATTAGCTCTGATGGGAGGAGGGCGTCAACAGGGGAGAATCTCAGCTGAGACAGTCTGGGGATGGAGGCTGAGCTCAGGACACTATATTCCTGGATGGCATCGCCGGGTCACCCAGGTGCCCATGTGACTCTGGATTTCCCCCTCCCTGTTCTTCGAAAAGGACCTGGGGGTTCCAAGGCCAAAGGCCATTCCTATTGGCTTTGAGATCTCACTTTGCCAGGAGTCCAAGGAACTGAGGGGAGAGGGGGAGCTTGGTCATTCACTTTCCAAAATAGTAGCATGTGGAGGGATGCCTGGGTCGCTCGGTCAGTTAAGTGTCTGCCTTCGGCTCAGGTCATGATCCCAGGGTCCTGGGATCGAGTCCCACATCAGGAATCCCTGCTCAGCGGGGAGTCTGCTTCTCCCTCTGCCTGCCTCTCCCACTGCTTGTGCTCACTCTCTCTGACAAATAAATAAATAAAATATTTTTAAAAAATAGTAGCTTGTGGATATTGGGGTACACAGGAGTTCTGTGACTGTGTGGATATCTGTGTCTATCTATAGGCACCTCTGAGCACCTATGTTCTGGACACATGTGGAACATCTGGGCTCATCTGTGACTAGTCATGTCTATAGGCGCACATTCGTATAAATCCAGGCAAAGGCTGGTGTGCATCAGTGGACAAGTGTGCATGTATGTGTGTCTTTCACTGTCTCCCATGGCCATGAACATTCCCTTCACTCTGAAACGGTCATCAGCGTTCTATTCCCATATGCTCTGTGCCCAATTCATGAGCCCCCAAGTCAATCTGCACAATCGGTCTTTATATGTGCGCACCAGGTATGTTTGTGTCTTTGCCTTCTCCATGAGCGTTCGCGTCCCTGCACAGCTCCAGAGCCCGAAACGTAAATGCCTGTCTACGTTCACACGGGTGAACGCCTCCCTATAAATACCCGTGGCCCTCTGTGTGGCCCCACGTGCATGTCTCCCCAGAAGCCACAAACATGTCACACATCTGTGTCCATCCAAGAACACCAGGTAAAATAGGTGAAAATTCTAAAAAAGAATACTCACGCCCTTCCACGTGTAATTCTCTATGTCCGCTTGCATCCACGAACATTCCCGCCCTTCTCTCAGGAGGGACTGACATCTGTGTACATTCTGTCAGCGGCACTCTTAGGTCTGGTCTCCCTGACCAACTCATTAGCTTTGCAGTCAGTCCTGAAATATTCCTGCAGAATTGATGCTTGACTAATAAGCCCGGTGTCCTGCTGAGGTCGCATGGCATTTGCAAGGGCTAATGCCAGGGTTGAGGAATCCTGGCCTCCTGGAATAGCCAGGGAATGCACTCACCGTCATGAGCAGACTCCTCTCCCTTCTCACTGCACCAAGTGTCCCAGCCACTGCCTGTTGAGGTACGTTTATGGCCCCAACACTACCCTGGCATCACACAAAGGGTTGCATCTCCACATTTGTCATTGTACAGAAGGCTGGATCATGGGGCGCCTGGGGGGCTCAGTCGTTAAGCGGCTGCCTTCAGCTCAGGTCATGATCCCAGGGTCCTGGGATCCAGCCCTACATTGGGCTCCCTGCTCCGCGGGAAGCCTGCTTCTCCCTCTCCCGCTCCCCCTGCTTGTGTTCCCTCTCTCGCTGTGTCTCTCTCTGTCAGATAAATAAATAAAATCTTAAAAAAAAAAAAAAAGAAGGCTGGATCACTCATCAGGGCACTACACTAAGGGCTGCATTAACAGACTTGTCATTATACTGTGGGCTGCATGACCTTATCATGCATTACGCCGAGGGTAGCATCATCCAACCTGTCTTTATATGTGAAGACGGAATCATCCTTTCGGTCGTAACACTGAAGGCCCCAGTCCCAGGCTGAGCATTATACTGAGGGGCTTTGTAGCCAGAAAATAAGACTTGAGAAGCAACATTTTCCCTTTTCATTGATAACTCCTCTGAGTGAGGTTGCGAAGTAATCCCAAGGGAAGTGGTAGGACCACAGCAACGGGGGAACTGGAAATCCTGAAGTGAGGCACTGGGGAAGGGAAGCTACAGAGGACAGAGGAGCAAACAGTAGTACATCAAGAGCTGGAATTCAACGCTCCTGACCCGGCAATGCTGAAGGGGCTGGGGAAATTCAGAGTGTGCAGCCGCAGGGCCGTCTGACTAATGCCTCCTGGAAGCTCTAGATACTGCCAGGCCTCCGCTGTTCCTGCCAGGGAGGTCTGCAAGACATACCTTGCCATGCCCTTGAGGACAGGTGCCTCACCTGCCAGTGCAGAGCTCCATAGCACAGCATGTGAGCCATGCCATGACAGGCCCCGTCCTGTGCCACATCCTCTGCTGGGCTCCGTGTCCTATTGCCCCCCGACACACGCAGGCGTGCTAGGCTCAGACGTTCCCATATGAGAGACGCGTTCTGACCCGCTCCAACACGTCCCATGGGCTCGGGCATGCCCGGCTGCCATCAGGTTCTCCTTATACAAAGGGGCATGCCTGCCATGAAGACATGCCCTGACACGTTCAAACATACTATGACACATCCCAACATATGGGGCCGTCTCCAACAGACATGCACGTGCCCCAGCAGGCTCTGGGGGCCTGGCAGGTCTCTAGCCTCTGCCCCTGAGTCTACATGCCTGTGGCCACCTTGCCCTTCCAGATGGATTGATGGGGCAGCAGGGAAAAGGCTGTTATAAATTAAACATTGAGACACTGCCTGAGCACTAGATTCCTGCCATCTATTCACTGGCTGGTTCTCTCCCAGGAGGCTGCAGGACCACGGGGTGGGGGAGAGGGCAGGGGAAGTGGCTCATTTAATTAATTAGTCCTAATTGAGATATCTTTGTAAATATCCCTTTATTGAAGGACACGATCCCATCATTTCCTAGGAATTTGCCGTCTCTATTTGTCTCCAGCCCCTGAGTATCGCAGAAATGACAAGAAAAGAAAGAGCAATCCAAAGGGCTGCTTGAACCCTAGCCGTGCTTCTGACAATGGCAGCAACACTGAGGGACAGGCAGGGAGGCTCAGAGAGACACAGAGATCCAGGCAGAGTGGCAGGCAGACAGACAGAGAGATACAGGCAGAGAGACATGGGGAAACTGCAGGGGACAGGGCAGGAGACAGGACAACAGGCAACAGGGGGGGTCACGCAATGCCAGCAGAATCAGGATGCAGACCCTGAAATGCGGGAAGAGGGACAGGCTGCCAGAGACGGGAGGAGAAACTTCACGACAGGGAGACCAGAAGTGGGGACAGATGGACCCTGGCCAGGCAGACAGACCTCCCTCTGCCTTTTCCTGCCTCACCTGGTCTCCCCATGTCCTGGGCAAACTAGCCACTGCAGCAGCAGCAACAATCAAGCCTGATTCCTCTTTGGCCCTTGCTACTCTCCCCTTCTCTCTCCCTCCCCCAGTCACCCCTGCAATCATCTCCCTTGTTCAAAATGAGCTTCTGCAGCTGCAGCCCAGACAGCTGTTCCATCCTCGAGCCAGTGCTGGGGCCTGATGGCTGGGTCCTAGAGGGAGGCCTTCCTAGGTGGCAGCGGGGGAGGAAGGGAAGTGGAGGGAAGGGGCTCACCTGGAGCTTGGGCACCCACCCACACCTCACCCTGGGCTCCCATCAAAGCTTGGCTCTAATCCCCAGACCCCCTCTAGGGCCTTCAAGGGCTCACACTGGTCTGGCTCATCCTGTCCCATTCAGGAATCCTGCCAACACCCACCCTGGCTTCTGGTTCTGTCCTGTCTCAAGAGCCCTCTCAGGTCTGAGAATGCTGGTCTCTCCCCCAGCTCCTATCAGAGTCCTGGACTATGATACAGCAACTATGGTAACACAGAAACAGGATCCCAGAGAGAGAGAGAGAGAGACAGAGACAGAGACAGAGACAGAGACAGAGGCTGACAGACAGACATAGACCTAGAGATAGGGATGGAACAGATATAGAGACAGAGACACCAAGAGACAGAGATGACAGAATCAGAGACAAAAGAGACACACAGAGACAAAGACAGAGACACACAGAGGACTTAGGGACAGACAGAAACATAGAAGACAGTATGACAAAGAGAGGCAGACACTGAGACACAGGCAGACAGAGATAATCATCAACATTCACTCAACAAACATTTACTGAATGTCAACCATGTGTTGTAAAAACACAGTTAAGACAGAGAGAGGAAAATATAGTTTATGAGACAAAAATACGAGAAAGAAACAGACAGAAACAGAGACTCAAAAGACAGAGTTTAAAAACGGTGAAGCATCAACGGTGAGACAGAGAGAGACAAGATTGGGAACCAGACTGCCCCCCTAGGTCTCCAAGTGGCAGCCTCTTCCCTCCCACACACAGACAGACCCAAGCCCACATCAAACTCTCTCAAAACACCTGGGCCTCCCCCAGATGGCTGCTTTCCTTCCTTGCCCAGCTTTGTGGCTGCTCCCCACTGGTGTTTCACAAAGCGGCGTCAGCCATCCAGAGTCAGAGGGGAGAAGGATGCTGGGGACATGAAAGACACCAAGAAGCAGAAACCAGAGCTTCCCTCTGGAAGAGGAAGAAGACAGTTTTAGTCACAGGTCAAGTGGCCCTAAAGCCTAGACCACGTTCCCTTCATGGCTGTCCATGGTGCTGACAGTAGAGACACAGGCTGCACCTCAAGCCATTTCTTATGTTGGCATCAAACTTGGGGTGGACGAGGTCGAGGGTGGTAGTCAGAAACACCTGATGGGCTCAAGCTGCTACCTACCTCATCAGCTCCTCAGAAACACCACCTGCCATCCCACCCCAACACCTTCACACACCCAGTTCTCTTGGTCTATCTCCCTCCACCTTACCAGCTCAGCTCTGCCCAACTCTTACTCAACCTTCATGTCTCAGGGTAAATGTCACCTCTTCAGGGAAGCCTTCCCTGACCACCCCTTCCCAATTACATGTCTTCATGGCTCCATATCTTCTCCTTCATGACCCCTACCAAACTGTGATTATATAGCCAATTGCACAATTCCACATTCACTATGTCTCCCTACGAAGCTTTAAGAGAGAAGAAAGAGTCTCCCTTGTTCACTGCTCTATTTCCAGTCCCCAGCACAGGACTTAGCATATGGAGGGACTCAATGATTGCTGGTTGGGAATGACTCTGCTCTCTGGTGGCAAGATTACTCCATGCCTTGATGTGGGAAGTTGGCAAAGTGCACATTCGTCAGACATCCGTTCAAACAGAAGGTTTGAAAAACAAGGGCACATGAAAAAAAGCTTTAAGAAACAGATGCTTCTGGGATGCCTGGGTGGCTCAGTTGGTTAAGAGTCTGACTCTTGATTTCAGCTCAGGTTATGATCTCAGGGTCATGAGATCAAGCCCCACATTGAGCCCCACATCAGGCTCAGTGGGGAGTCTGCTCGAGATTCTCTCTCCCTCTCCCTCTGCCCCTCATCCTGCTTTCTCTTTCTCTCTCTCAAAATAAATAAATAAATCTTTAAAAAAGAAAAGAAAAGAAACAGACACTTCTGATCCATAAGAAAAGATTCGGGAATCACAGAAATACTCATCAAAGTTCAAAGGTGCCATCAGGAGGAAGAAGGGGCAGTAGTCTCATGGGGGCAGAAAGAACTGAGACCGTTCAGGACATACCTACTGCCCTAAAGGAGAAGATCCCAGTAATAAACAAAAGGGACAAAGTGCTTACATGGCACTTCTATTCTGTTGGTGGCAAATAATTACCAAGATGATTTCAGATAATTATGAGTGCTGGGCAGAAAATAGAACAGGTCCAAATAACAGTGTGGGGACATTCTAGCTGGGGTGGTCAAAGGAGGTCTCTCTGAGGAGGTGACATTTGAGTTGGGACCTGAGTGGTGAGAAGGAGCAGGCTAGAGGAGGTTCCCGGAGGATGGCACAGCAAATGCAAAGTTCCAGAGGCAGGAACAAGAAGAGGGATGGAAGAGTGGTCCAAGACCTGAGACTCGGGCAGGGAGGGTCTTGTAATAATAATAATAGCAATAATAATTACAATAGCTAACCTTTATAGGCACCTTCCATATGTCAGGTACACAGCTAAGCACAGTGTTATATGGAACATTCCACCATTATCCCCATTTCATGGATAAAGAAACTCAGGCTTAATGAGTTGGACCAGAGTCGGGAGTTTAGATTTGGTTCAAGTGAGGTAGGCAAAAGTTCAAAGAAGGCAAATTTCACACTCACAATCTAGAAGGATTTTCTAACAACTAGAGGTCTCTAAAAATGCAACAAGCAGGGGCGCCTGGGTGGCTCAGTCATTAATCATCTGCCTTCGGCTCAGGTCATGATCCCAGGTCCTGGGATCGAGCTCCACATCAAGCCCCGCATTGAGCCCCACTTTGGGCTCCCTGCTCGGCGGGAAGCCTGCTTCTCCCTCTCCCACTCCCCCTGCTTGTGTTCTCTCTCTTGCTGTGTGTGTCTCTCTCTGTCAAATAAATAAATTAAATCTTAAAAAAAAATGCAACAGGCAGGGGTGCCTGGGTGGCGCAGTCAGTTGAGGGCCAACTCTTGATTTCAGCTCAGGTTGTGATCTCAGGGTCATGAGATCGAGGCCCGTGACAGGCTCCAC